TAGTGAATCTAGGAGCTAGTTTTTAAAAAAGATCAACAAAATAGATCACTAGCAAGATTAATAAAAAAGAAAAGAGAGAAGAATTGAATAGATGCAGTTAAAAACGATAAGGGGGATATCACCACCAATTCCACAGAAATACAAACTACCATCAGAGATTACTAAAAATAACTCTATACACATAAACCAGTAAACCTGGAAGGAATTGATAAATTCCTGGACACTTGCAACCTTCCAAGCCCAAACCAGGAAGAAGTTGAAACCCTAAATAGACCAATAACAAGAGCTGAAGTTGAGGCAGCAATTAATAGCTGCCAACCTATTTTTTATTTTTTTACAAGCCAAAAAAAACCCAGGACCAGATGGGTTGACAGCTGAATTCTACCAGACATACAAAGAGGAGCTGATACCACTCCTTCTGAAACTATTCCAAACAATCCAAAAAGAGGGAATCCTTCCCAAGTCATTTTATGAGACCAGCATCATCCTGATACCAAAACCCGGCAGAGACTCAACAAGAAAAGAAAACTTCAGGCCAATACCCATGATGAACACAGATGCAAAAATCTTCAATAAAATACCGGCAAACTGATTAGCACATCAAAAAGCTTATCCACCATGATCAAGTAGGCTTCGTCCCAGGGATGCAAGGCTGATTCAACATACACAAGTCTATAAACATAATCCATCACATAAACAGAACCAAAGACAAAAACCATATGATTATCTCAATAGATGCAGAGAAGGCCTTCAACAAAATTCAACAGGTCTTTAAGCTCAAAACTCTCAATAAACTTGGTATCAACAGAACATATCTCAAAACAGTAAAAGCTATTTACAACAAATCCCCAGCCAATATCATACTGAATGGACAAAAACTGGAAGCATTCCCTTTGAAACCTGGCAGTAGACAAGGATGCCCTCTCTCACCACTCCTGTTCAATATAGTATTGGAAGTTCTAGCCAGGGCAATCAGGCAAGAAAAAGAAATAAAGGGTATTCAACTAGGAAAGGAGGAAGTCAAAACGTCTCTATTTGCAGATGACATGATTGTATATTTAGAAGACCCCATCGTCTCAGCCCAAAATCTTCTGAAACTGATAAGCAACTTCAGCCAAGTCTTAGGATACAAAATCAATGTGCAAAAATCACAAGCATTCATATACACCAATAACAGACAAACAGAGAGCCAAATCAAGAGCAAACTACCATTCACAATTGCTACAAAGAGAGTAAAATACCTAGGAATACAACTAACAAAGGATGTAAAGGACCTCTTCAAGGAGAACTACAAACCACTGCTCAAGGAAATAACAGAGGATACAAACAGATGGAAAAACATTCCATGCTCATGGTTAGGAAGAATCAACATTGTGAAAATGGCCAAACTGCCCAGAGTAATTTATGGATTCATCATTATTCCCATCAAGCTACCTATGACCCTCTTCACAGAACTGGAAAAAAACACCTTAAACTTCATATGGAACCAAAAGAGGTCCTGCATAGCCAAGTCAATTCTAAGCAAAAAGAACAAAGCAGGAGGCATCAAACTACCTGACTTCAAACTATACTACAAGACTACAATAATCAAAACAGGATGGTACTGGTACCAAAACAGAGATGTATACCA